AGTCTATAACACTGGCATAGAAAACTGCAATTGATTCTGTTAATGTTACTTAATGCGCAGCTACAATGTACAATAGGATAGGGTACGACAGGGTAATTTGTTAACTGTTTTTCCACTGATGTGGCACCTTCCCATTTTCCTATTGTTCTAATGCATCTTATTTTACAATAACCTTAGTCGCTCATAAATCAGAAGATGGAAAAGTTTAAGAAAGAAAACAAGTCCATGAACGACTGGATGGACGAGACGGAAAAGTTGGTCAACTCACTAAGCGTGAACATGGATCCGAAGAAAGCGAGTAGAGTACAAGATAAAATTAACGTGAGTATTCAACGTCACCATGATGTGTTTTTTTTTCAGTTTAATCTTCTTATCTTTATCAAACGGATACGTTTTCAGTGAGAAATTAATTTTTTTCCTGAAGACAGAAGATCTACTGACTTGTGTGACACTTTCTCTTTAAACGTGATATTTTTCACAGGACAGGTTTTCGCCGCGAAAAACCTCACCAACTCACGCCTTGCGAGAATTTAACGTGGCCCTTAAATCACAAATTCAAGTAATGTTGCACGTAGGGGCTAAACCACCCCCCAAATGTTTCATCAGTTCTTGGGTATTTCACATTATTTCGCATTACTTGAAAAGTATTGACTCTTTCTGCACCAAACTTGGCAGATGAGCAGGAGACCTATCGCCAATTATATTTACGTGAAAAATGTCAGTAAATGTTAAAGTTGTGNACCAAAGGATCATTTTTTTAAGAAGAAAGTCACTTATGAGGTCAGTGGCAGTATTTACTTATATTTCCTTGGTATTATCAATATCCGCTGACCAATCCCAAGCCGCTCAAGAAATCTGGAAAGATTACAAAATCCGCCCAAGAAATGTGATTCCATATTCTTGAAATACAAATTTTGCATGAAATTAATCGGCTCGATTCTTCAGCGCAACACGCTACCTAACTTGACTGAACTTGCACAGTACTCGGTGATAAGTGCAGAGCACAAAATTTGAAAACTTAAGGGCTTTTCTGAATACATGTACTTAAGGCTATAAATTGAGGTAAACAACCGTTAGAATTAGAAGGAAAAAATTCAAAGGCGAATAAAAAATCGCAAAAGACGAGCACACTTATTTCACATTTCTTTCCATCGGTGAACTCGAATCCCGGCATCGGTACAACACTGTGGCCTTCATGTACGCGATCTGAACAATGCAGCATCCCTGATGTGAGCAGCACAATTAGCAGTTACATACAATGTAAGCATATTACAGGTTCAAATTATCGAAATTAAGTCCGTGGATTTCACTTTAGTGATCCACGCATGAAGTTTTTAGCTAGCAGAATTTGTCAAAGCGGGGAAGAAATGTCACGTTTTGGATAAATGGCCGAGACCCGGTTAAGCATAAGTTGACATACTGTTTGAATATTCACTACTATTAAACTTGTTAATATTTACAGTGCTGTTTTCTTTACTAATTTGTCGGTATTATGTTAGTGGGCAAAAACCAAAAACCAAGCGGGTGTCTGCCGGGGAGAGGAAACAAAGGGAAATTTAAATGACAGAGTAAGATAATTTTGTGCAAAATCTGCAACTTGCGATAACAACATTTTACACGCNGTTATTCCATATTCTTGAAATACAAATTTTGCATGGAATTAATCGGCTCGATTCTTCAGCGCAACGCGCTATCTAACTTGACTGAACTTGTACAGTACTCGGTGATAAACGCAGAGCACAAAATTTGAAAACTTAAGGGCTTTTCTGAATACATGTACTTAAGGCTATAAATTGAGTTAAACAACCGTTAGGATTAGAAGAAAAAAAATTCAAAGGCGAATAAAAAATCGCAAAAGAGGAGCACACCCATTTCACATTTCTTTCCGTCGGTGAACTCGAATCCCGGCATTGGAACAACACTGTGGCCTTCATGTACGCGATCTGAACAATACAGCATCCCTGATGTGAGCAGCACAATTAGCAGTTATGTACAATGTAAGCATATCACAGGTTCAAATTATCGAAATTAAGTCCGTGGATTTCACTTTAGTAATCCACGCATGAAGTTTTTAGCTAGCAGAATTTGTCAAAGGTCCCGGGTTATCTGTCCTGGGTTTGGAGTTTGATTAAGGCTAATTGTTTTGTTTGTTTGTCGTGCTCACTTTAAACAGGAGCCTCTCAATAGCGCGAAACACACTTTGCCTCAGTGAAGTACAAACAGTTTTTGACGGTGAAAAGCACATGATAGATTATGATCAGTAAAGTAATTAAGAAGAAAAATATTCGCAATTGTAGTCTCCATTGAGCAGGAGAAAAAATACTAAATCGGCCGTTAATTTTTCTTCAGAACATTTCACAAACGGATCATGCAAAACAATGAGAAACCTGTGAAATATTCTCTGGTGTTACGAATACGCTAAGCGGGGAAGAAATGTCACGTTTTGGATAAATGGCTGAGACCCGGTTAAGCATAAGCTGACATGCTGTTTGAATATTCACTACTATTAAACGTGTTAATATTTACAGTGCTGTTTTCTTTACTAATTTGTCGATATTATGTTGGTGGGCAAAAAACCAAAAACCAAGCGGGTGTCTGCCGGGGAGAGGAAACAAAGGGAAATTTAAATGACAGAGTAAGATAATTTTGTGCAAAATCTGCAACTTGCGATAACAACATTTTACACGCCGGGTAATAAGATGCGCGGAGCCAAACAAGGCTTACGATAGAAAACGGCGCCAAAAATATCCACCGCTCACGGAGATATGCATCACAGTTAATTCATGCCCAAAGCTTTTTTCCGTGTAAGAAGACAAACTTGGCTTACCGTTTAACTCTATTGCGTTGCGACATCTGTGCACCAATGCCTGTAGCAGCTAAAATAAATTATACAGAGCACAGCCTGTGCTCTGTATAAATTATTTTAGCTGCTACAGCAAAGCGAAGCACGTGCTTTGTTTGACGGTCAAACAAAGCACGTGCTTCGCTGAAATGAACATGACTGAAGAGCACGCGAAGGCTCCAGCTGAAAAAGGAAATCATACTATAAAAAATGGCGCTCGAAGAAAGCAAAGAAACCAGCCTAGAAAACTGTACATACTTTTCGCTTAATCTGTATTCTCTATACGACGAACAGAAGATAGTGCAGAAGGGAGAAATTCCACAGTAATTCTCCGTCGCAACTCGAATTCGCGAAGCTCTTGTGATAAATGTTCACCGTCCGATTTCGTCGAGTGCAGCGTATTTGGTCAGCAGAAAGCGCTAGAGCATGCCCTAAGACAGCGCTTATGCTAAACCAATCAGCTTTTTCTTTCCACCTAGTCTATAACACTGGTATAGAAAACTGCAATTGATTCTGTTAATGTTACTTAATGCGCAGCTACAATGTACAATAGGATAGGGTACGACAGGGTAATTTGTAAACTGTTTTTCCACTGATGTGGCACCTTCTATTTTCCCTGTGTTCTAATGCATCTTATCCTAATATAACCTTAGTCGCTCATAAATCAGAAGATGGAAAAGTTTAAGAAAGAAAACAAGTCCATGAACGACTGGATGGACGAGACGGAAAAGTTGGTCAATTCACTAAGCGTGAATATGGATCCGAAGAAAGCGAGCAGAGTACAAGATAAAATTAACGTGAGTATTCAGCGTCACCATGATGTATTTTTATTTCCAGTTTATATCTTCTTATCTTTATCAAACGGATACGTTTTCAGTGAGAAATTAGTTTTTTTAGAGCTGTGTGCTTTTCTTTTCTTACACACTTTGTACTATAAATATTTTGTTTCCAGATACGATATGGGGAGATGAAGGACAAACAATCTAAGGTAGACTCCATTAAGCTGCTGAGCAAGCAGATTGAGAACGAGACTTTGGACCCAACAATCAGCCAGCCGTTTCTAAAGGAAGCAGAAGCACTGGGGGAAAGGTGGAGCAAGATCAAGGAGATGATTGAAAATTATGATGAAAAGGACGCCGGGAGCAAAGCTTCATCCAGCAACTGCTGTGGCGCGTTCTTGAAAAAGAGACTATTTCCGATTTGGTCGTATAATTAAGGGGTGCATGTATGGTCACGCAATCAAATACTACAATGATACTGCGTATTAATCTGTCAACTACTAGGTACTAAGATTGCTTGTAGAGATTTAAGAGGTTGCGAAGGCTAGCTAGGTGGCAAGAGAGTTCAATAGTCATTGTACTCCGATACCAAGAGAGCAGAAATGCGAATTAACGTTACGAAATGTAAGGTTGTAACTAACATGAATGTAGTTCTTTTTCTTCAAAAATGGATGGAAATACGCGAATGTAGGTAATAATTGGTACATGAATGTCCCCAAACACAAGATGGCTACAAGAGGCCACTGTAGGTTAATATGAATCTACTATATGAAAAAATGTTATGATCAAATGTTTCAGTAAAGGGCTTCTTCCTGGGCAGCGTAAAATTACAGAAAAGGTACGATTCTGTATTGACTTATTGTTTGATTGCATGCATGGGATCACCTAGGAATTAATAAAGGGACTGGAAAGTTCAGCTCCTTCAGGCGATTCTGTCACATGAAAAAGTGGTCTTTGGGTAAAACTAAGCCTAACAATATTACGCTGAATTACGTTCAATTGATTTGCATGTGAATGAAGTCTGTATAATTACTTTTTTCGGTCATTAAACTATTATATCCTCTTTCTAAAGACCAGGCCGGGGTTGTTTGAAAGGTGGATAACGCTATCCACCGGATAAATCAGTATCCAGCGGATAGCATGGTTTGTTTTGTTAACACCTATCCACTGGATAGCGATTTATACGTGGACATAGAGATTACTTCATGGAAAATGCTTTGTACGATTTTTATTCACTAGTTGAGTATTATTAGAAAACGAACAACTGAGCGCAGCGAACGAGTGNTAAATCAAGATTTACATACTGTAAATTACAATTGACATGTCCATGTAAATTTTCAACTTTTCCAGTGAAATCAGTATCCAGCGGATAACATGGTTTGTTTTGTTAACACCTACCCACTGGATAGCGATTTATACGTGGACATAGAGATTACTTCATGGAAAATGCTTTGTACGATTTTTATTCACTAGTTGAGTATTATTAGAAAACGAACAACTGAGCGCAGCGAACGAGTGAGTTTTCTGATACGTATCAACGAGTGACTAAAAATCGTGCAAAGCATTTTCCATGTTGTAATGTGTTTATTTCATACGTACTGAGATTTTTTCGTGTAGTATTTGGTAGACAAATTGCACAAATGGGGCGATGAAAAGTGTAAAACAAATAATTTAAAATCGCTCAACGACAACTAAATTAATGAAAGCTTATAAAATTTACAACACCGTTTTCATCATATATCAAGAAAGTCAAATGTTTATTACTAAAGGAAGCCATGCCAATAAACTGCGTAATGTCATAAAAATATATCCGGATTTAGTTATCATCAGAGTCACCTTCCAGTTCTAAAGGCTTCAGACGTTTCCATCTCACCGCTTCGGGACTTCACGGATTTGTGGCAAGTGTCGGAGACTGATTTACTGTGCTGATGTGAATGGAAAAATTACCACCTTGAATAACAGCTCCACTGAACAATGTCGTGGACTGCTAACCGGTATTTTGGGAGTCGGAGGACGACGGACAGGCTGATTGGGACGAGGACGAAGCTGAGGTACCAGCCGCCACACTGAAACAGTGCTGTACTTTTCTATGCTCTTCAAATTCTTGTAACCAGATAGTTGTGCAATTTGCGTGGATGGAATGTTATGTTCACTTAGCGTCTGGATCATTGTTTTTCTGCCGCTATGATTTCGAAGCCTGTCGTTTTCAGTTCCTGCCTTCTGAACTATTGTCTTCAATAGACCGTTGAGTTCGTTTACGCCTATAGCGCCGGACTTGAACCAACTTTTTCTTGCGAGCGAGTCTGCCTTTAAGGTGTTGTTTACGGCCAGGTAAAAGGGAGCATCGTCTTGATTCATTTCCTCAGGTCTCTTCCTGGCAAAAAAT